TGTGATTCACAAATTATTTTAATCAATCAATCATCAAAAAAAAAAATCACACATCACATCAATCTAAAATCACACCAATGAAATACACATTAATCACTGTAATTCAGAAATCAATCTTACTTCATTCAATCAATAACAATATAAATAAATAAATAAAAACACACATCAATCAAAGACCCCATCGACCAAATAAAAAAGAACCCCTAAAAAAAAAAAAAAAAAAAATCGAATGACCACCATCATAGAAAACGGGAACAACGTCACGCCAAGCCGTCTCTCTCGCTAACCTAAAATCTCTTCGCAAAACGGACAAAAACGACATTAAATCCGCGAGACTGACGGACGCAAGGCTGACGTAATCCAACTCCCATCCAGCGGCAAACGTCAGGCGTCAGACGTGTCCAATAACTGTGTCTTGGCGCCTGGCCTGTCCGTCCGAGTCAAAATGGAAGCCCGCCACCCACTCCATGACCATCTCAAGGTTCTATTTTAAATATCTAGACCTTGTTGTGTCTAAAGTCTTTCTCTTGTCTGTGTCAAGGCGCATGGCAGGCATTGCGTGCGCTTTTCATGAGAGAGAGAGAGAGAGAGAGAGAGAGAGAGAGAGAGAGAGAGAGAGAGAGAGAGAGAGAGAGAGAGAGAGAGAGAGAGAGAGAGAGAGAGAGAGAGAGAGAGAGGAGAGGAAGGGAGGGAGAGGGAGAGGGAGAGAGGGAGAGAGGGAGAGAGAGAGAGAGAGAGAGAGAGAGAGAGAGAGAGAGAGAGAGAGAGAGAGAGAGAGAGAGAGAGAGAGAGAGAGAGAGAGAGAGAGAGACAGACAGACAGACAGACAGACAAGACAGAGAGAGAGAGAGAGAGAGAGAGAGAGAGAGAGAGAGAGAGAGAGAGAGAAAGAAAGAAAGAAAGAAAAAGAAAGAAAAAAGAAAGAAAGAAAGAAAGAAAGAAAGAAAGAAAGAAAGAAAAAAGAAAAGAAAGAGAAAGAGAAAGAGAAAGAGAGAAAAGAGAAAAAAAAGAAAAAGAAAGAAAAACAGATAAAGACACAGAGTGGAAGACAAGCATAGGAAGGGGTCGTATATAATAAAAATACAAATTCACACAAGCACGTAGCCACGTAAACACGCACATTCACGCGCACAGAGAAACCGGCTCCTACTCCTGCTAGGCTTGGGGGAAACCAAAGCCTGTAAAACAAATAATTAGAAATGTGAAGGCAAAATATCCGTTTCCTGCACTCGCTCGTTCACACACACATTTATTCATAAACACATACACAACACACACAACACACAACACACAAACACACACACACACACACACACACACACACACACACACACCACACACACACACACACACACACACACACACACACACACGCCCCCCCCCCCCACCTGACCATTACACGTAGGCAACATCCCACAAAGGCGGAAGTTTTAACACCAATAACATATGCATAAGTAAGAGCAAGAAAAAAAATGACACGAAAGACCGGAAGAGAGAGAGAGAGCGAGGCAGACCGCAGCGCAGCCACGCGGAGAATAAGCATAAGAGAGAGAGGGGGAAGGAGAGGAAGGAAAAAAAAAGGATGGAAGAGAGAGAGACTGAGAAGAAGGGAAGAAGGAAGAGAGGAGAGAGGGAGGGGGAGAAGGGGAGAAGGGGAGAAAGGGGAGAAGGGGAGAAGGGGAGAGGGGGAGAGGGGAGAGGGGGAGAGGGAGAGAGGGAGAGAGAGAGAGAGAGAGAGAGAGAGAGAGAGAGAGAGAGAGAGAGAGAGAGAGAGAGAGAGAGAGAGAGAGACGAGAGAGAAGAGAGAGAGAGAGACAAAGGGTAGGAAAGGAGGGAGAAAGAGAGGGAGCGAGAGGGAGAAAAAGACAGATAGATAGATAAGGGATACATAGAGATTGAGATACAAGAGCGAATAGCGTAAGCAGCACAAAAAAGAAGAGAGGAGAAAGAGGAAAGTGACAATGAGAGAGAGAGAAGAAAACAAAAGAAACAAAGAAGTCTTGTCTTCACTTCCTGCTTGCTCTCCTTTGCAATATCATCTTTTTCTTCCCCGTTCTCCCTCCCGTCTCCAATGCGTCTTTTCTTCCCCGCTTTATCTCTCTTTCTCCAACCCTTTTTATCGATCTCACGTGCTTCGTATTTCTCTTCTTCCCCTCCGCTTCTTTTTCTTCTTCTTCTTCTTCTTATCTCTCTCTATTCCCCGTTCTTTCCTTCACAGATTAATTCTTTTTCTTTCTTCTTACGCACACTTCTTGATGCTCTTAGAAGGGAAGATGATAACACGCGGATGCACATAAACAAAGTACACGCCCTCAGCTTCCCCTTCCTCCCTTATACATACATACATACGCACACACAAACACAAATACATACATACATACATACATACATACATACGCACACACAAACACAAATACATACCATACATTACTCACACACACAAACATACACAAATACATACATACATACATACATACACACACCACAAACACAATACATACATACATACACACACACACATACACAAACACACAAAAAAATCGTGTTAAAATGTTCACATACTAAGCCTCCGACCCCCCCCCTCGCCTTTCGTACGCACGCACGCACGCACGCAATCCACCTTCCCTTCTCCTTTTCTCTCCTGTCCCTCACGCCCAATCTTTCCCATGCTCCCTCTGTCTCCTCCCTATTCCACCTCCCCTCCCTTCACCCCTCACGCCCACTCGCCCCTTCTCATCCTCTTCTGTCTCCTCCCTATTCGACCCGTCTCTCCTCACGCCCACCCCGCCACCCGCCCTTCTCATCCTCCTTCTGTCGCCATCCTATCCCACCCTTCTCTCCTCAATGCCACCCCGCCCGCCCCTTCTCATCCTCTTTTTTTCTGTCTCCTCCCCATTCGAC